TATGTATATATGTATACATGGATATGCATGCGGACTGGAATATATATAGATATATATGTATATATTTATATATGCAAATTAACATGGCTATAAAAGCCCCATAATATATTTACATATATACATATATATCTTGTGGTACAACAGTTCTAGTACATCCTTTTCAATTTGTCAAATACTGCTTTCCGTCCAGACTACAAAATGAGCCAAATTCAAATAATTGTGGATCTATTTGTGAAATTTGTCTCCAATATGTCCCCCAAATGACCATATCATTAACCTCTTTACGTCTACCGTATCATAAATCATGCATGCAAAAATGTTTTTTCATGCCCCTATTTTATTTGGAAACGTTGCTATTTAATGCTGCTATTTAATTTGGAAAGATGATCTCTGGATTATGTGTCAAGGGTTACACATTTTTAAGCTTTGTAATTGGTAAAAATGCTTTGCAAATAATTTTTAGGTAAAAATAAATTTAAACGGAAAAGCAGTCAACTTTATATTTTAAATACTAAATTTTTTCTTATTTATGATTAATGTAAAAATTATAATTTATTTTATTTGTTAGTTTAAATTTAAATAAAATTTATTTTTTAATTAAATTTATTTTATTTTTATCTTTTAAATATTATGTAGTTAATGAGAGTTTATCATTTAAGATATTAATTCATATTTATCTTTTAGATAATGATAATTTATTTTTAAGAGATTAATTTATATGTAAATATATTTAAAAATAAATTAAGTTATTAATTTTATAGAGTTAATGAAAATTTAAATTTTCTTTATATAGAAAAACTCTAACATATGCGAGAAAAAATTAATTGAAAAGGTAAAAAAAAAAAAATTAACACTAAGGATGTGGAAAAGTAATTATCAATAGATTTTGCACAGTTTGACTGGAATGAACTACTTCATAGGAGGGACAAATTAAAATTTTATATCATACAAACTTCATTATGTAATTAAGTATTAATGTAGAAAAATAATTAACACAAAATTTATGTGAGTTAATTAGGATGAACTGTTTCCCAGGAAGGATAAATTCAGATTCATTATAAAAGAATTAACAAGTAACATAGAAAACTAATTAACACTAAGGATGTCAAAAAGTAATTATTAAGAGATTTGCATGTTTTGATCGGAATAATTCATAAGTATTTCAGAGGAGGAATAAATTCGCATTTATTAGCAAAAACAGATTTATGTGTGTGATTTAATTAGAACCAACTATTTCTCAGAAGGGATGGATTAGAGGTTTTTACTAAAAAAATTTAGAGGTAATGTAGAGAAATATTTAACACCAAATCATTTATATGGTTTAATTAAAATGAATTATTTGAGAAGAGTAATAGACTCAGAATCCTTATAGAAAGATCATATGGTACATGAAGTAAAGACAGAGAGTTAATTGTGAAATTTTGTATTAGAGCAGTAAGGAAAAGATTCTCCAACGTAGTGTGCTCTCCACAAAATTTTTGGAAGAAGAATAAAATAAAAAACAATTGGTCCAGTTGGGTATCAGCAATGAAACTGTAGGACATTTTGGAAGCGAGGAATAAGAATTGTTTTGGAAGAGAAAGTGATAGTAGGCAGAATCTGTTGATGTTACAGAAAGTTAAAAAGTAAATATATACATACATATATAAATACGTGCATAAATAGAGGTGTACTCAGCTGTGGTTCATTTGAAAAACGATGACAAGGGATAGAGACCCTTTGGTTGTAGGGCGAGTTATTGGAGATGTTCTAGATCCTTTTATCAGGTCTATTTCTCTCAGAGTGAACTACAACTCAAGGGAGGTTAACAATGGCTGCGAGCTCAAACCCTCTCAAGTTGTCTCACAACCAAGGGTTGATATTGGTGGAGATGATCTTAGGACTTTCTATACTTTGGTATACATCTTTCTAATATTTCTTCGTTATTCTTCTCCTCAATATATACATATATACATCAATATATATACATATATTCATAATTAGCATCAAATGTTGCTGAAGGTGATGGTGGATCCTGATGCACCCAGCCCAAGTGATCCAAACCTCAGGGAGTACTTGCATTGGTCAGTTACTTATCACTCCATTAATTTTTACTTTGGTTTTGCCAACTTATCTATAATTCTAAATCACATAATAATTTTTTATTGACAAACTTAATAAAAAATAAAGTTTTTTACCCTTAAATCAATTAATAGATACATTTTTGCCTTAATTTTAACAAAAACAATTATGTAAAGTATGCTATGAAATAAAGCTATAATATTAACTCTTTGAAACTAAAAAGATGAACTAAAAAAAATATCAAATTAAATAATTAGTCTTATTTTAATTTAAAAATTAATAGCTATAACATAAACTATGCTAACTTAATTCAATGTTATATTCATTGACTTTTATGTAATATTATATATAAAGAAAAATTATTTTATGTAACATGTAATATTCTTTTATTGATAATTTAATAGAAATTTGAATTTACTGATATAATTTACCAAAAAATTATGATACCAATAAAATATGTATACTATACGTGTCTATATGCACTTATTATAGAATATAATTGTTGTGTGTGTATATATGGACAATTAATTAGCTTTCCCTATAAATATAAAATATTTAATTCTATCCCATTGGTACGTCCCTGAGCAGGAGTAAGCTCTTTCTCCTGATTGATTGCAGGTCACTTTCACTTCACAAATAAAGTTCACATGCTCACTTAACTCCATTAATTTATTAATATTCTCATCATTATTTTTAAAATTTTAGTACTTTATTTTTTTTTCATTTTAAGTCTTAAATTAATATATAAGTCAAGAAATATTGACGGGTTCTTCAAAATGTAACTCTTTCAGGTTGGTCACTGATATTCCTGCAACTACTGGGGCATCCTTTGGTGGGTAATCCATACACCGCATATATTATACATAAATATATGCATGTTTTGCATGCTTTCTTTGACTATCTAAGAAAAAAATCAAACAAATTATTGTTCTAACTTACCTCTCCTTCCTCTACGGGGAGGATAATTATTGTCAAATCAAGCAAAAATAGTTAAGCCGTGATATATTTAGATGACAATTACAAATTGAATCCGACAGTATAATTTACTATATAATTAAAGTAAAACTGAACTATATATTTTGCAATTAATTAAATTGAAGTCATTATAAACTAAAAGTTTTATATTTAAGAAGTATTTTATTATCTTTATCATATCGTATATGTATATAATAAATTATATTTATCTAATATTTATAAACTGTAAATTAAATTTTATCAAATAGTGTTAAATCTTTTAAAATAAATTGAAGTAAAAAAACAATATTGGTATTAATTGTATAATCAAAATTAGATTTTTAGATTTAATTAAATTTTTTTGAAGTACATAATATATTATATATTTAAATACTGCATATTATATACTAATTTACACACGATTATCTTTACTGCATAAAATAATAATATAATGTCTTAGTTGCAGTTTTTAAAATTGTAAGTTGAAATTGAACATATAAGTTGGAAATTAGCTGGATCAATTAGTTATAAATTTTTTTGTACACATATTTCTGTGTCTAGGGCTTTATTTCTTCATACCTAAAAATTAAATTACAAACATACATTCAAGATGATTGTGCAGTATAATCTTAAAATATATATATAATTTAGAAAAAACAAATTCTATCATATTACTTTTCTAATAAAAAGAAAATAAGACAATAAAAATATATGTTGATATAAATTATTTCAGGACAAGAGATCGTTTGTTATGAAAATCCAAGACCAACAGTGGGGATTCATCGATTTGTGTTCGTACTGTTTCGTCAACTGGGGAGACAAACAGTATATGCACCAGGTTGGCGTCAAAACTTCAATACAAGAGACTTCGCAGAGCTTTACAATCTTGGATTACCTGTGGCATCCGTTTATTTCAATTGCCAAAGAGAAAGTGGTTCAGGTGGAAGGAGAAGATAAATTTTCCTGATCAAATTATTTATCAATAATAATGAAGAATAATTATATATCAAAATAATGATTATATAGTAATCTTTCTCAATAAAATTATATTATAACAATAAAAAAGACAGTTGAAAACTCACTGTACTGATATGTGTATATACAAATGTTTGTATGTTTGTATGTGTGTGCATATATAATGCTACATACTGTAATTTGCCATGAAATATTATACTCAAATATATTATAAGTACGTACGCTACCCAAAATGCAATTTTTTCTTAGGAAAAGTTGAGATTGGTACAAAAGCTCAAATTTTGTTTTCATGTTGACAAAGTCTTCTTCTATTTTATGAAAAGGCAGAAATGTAATATCCTAAATTTCTTGATTTTCTATTTTATGTATGACGTGAACATTGAGTATGCATATATAGGTTGAAATGTGTTATAAAAGTAGAAAATGAAAATTGTGGAAAGAAAATGAAAGAGAAATTAGGTTTAGAGAGAAAAATCCTCCGAACAAGGGATTTTATCCCCCTGAAAGAGGAACTGAGTTACTATGAACTCCAAATTAGGTTTTTGAGCCTTAGATAAGATTCTAAAATATTTAAAAACATTCCACAAGAATGTAAAAAATAATCGGAATGAAAATTAGTGGAAAAAACAAAAATTAGGGTTAGAGATAAACCTTAAATCCCCTGGTTGAGGGATAAAGTGACCATTTGAGCTTAAAACGTCTTCTAAGTTCAAAGTAGGTGGAATTTAAGTCTAGAATTTTGGAAAACATTAATTAACACATGAGAAAAGAGAATCATAAAGAAAGAAAAGCTTTTAGAGCAAGAAAAATGAGAGAGAAACAAAGATTAGAAAAATTATCCTCCAAAAAACTCTAATTTAACCCTTTTAGGTTAAAATGCTTCCCGATACTAGAATACTTAAAATTTTAAGCTCGAATTCGACAGAAGACATATTAAAATATAGGGAAAGGAAGTACTACGGAGAGAAAATTTTTTGAGAAATGAAAAAGAAAATTAGCCATCCCAAGGGTGAGGGATAAAAATCCCCCAGGTAAAGAAATCCCTAGGTATTGTGTTTCCCTTTTATTTTACACCTTGCCTTGTCCAAAAATTAATTAAAACTTTATTAAATCAATTAATTAACATGAAAATGAATTAATGATATAGAAAAATAAATATAATATAATAAAATAAATAACAAAATGGAAAAGAAATGTAATTAAATGAGAAAAATAAGAGTGAAAAATGAGGTGGTGGTTTAGAGAAAATTTGGAATTATGAATACATGTGTATATACATGTATAATTATATATATATATATGTATATATATATGGGCATGAACGACTAAAATTTTGAGATCTAAAGAGCCTGAGTGATGCGGAACCCCAAGACTCTTGCTTGAACCTTATCTACTCTTCAATCGATTTAGAACAGAATTTAGATCACAAGTAAAAAGGAATCAAATTTGTTCAACCACCTGAATGGTATAACTTAAATAGAACCCAAGAAAGATAAATGATATATCTTGAACCCAATCCAAACAAGCACCAAGAACAATTGAAATAAGAAATCAAAATTGAATACAAGTGATAACACTTGTATTTCAAATCAACATGTTGCGCATAAAGTGAAAAGAAATCCAAAACACTCTTAATTCAGTTCTGAAATATTTGATTACAACTCTTGAAATAGGAAATCAAAATTGACTACAAGTGATAACAATTGTATTCCAAATCAACATCTTGTGCATAAAGTGAAAAGAAAGTCAAAACACTCTTAACTCAGTTTTGAAATATTTGATTACAACTCTTTATGTCCACAAAGAAGAGTTTCTTTGGTATTTATAGCCAAAGAAATCAATGATAAGTTACAACATAATAACTACAATTGTAACTCCCACAATAACTAGGCTAATTATGTGATAATTACAATTGTAACTCCAACAATAACTAGACTAATTATAGACATGTAATTGTTATGTAACTCCTTGTAACTACAATCTTCTTAACCAACACCACTAATTGTTTGTGGCACCATATAGTTATGGGCTCATTCTTGTAATAACACTAAGACA